CCTAAACCGGTCAACTGTTGACCAAATTGGTCAACGGATTGACCGAACCGGAGTGAACCGGTCTGAACCGGCCGGGACCAGGTCTAAGCCGGACTGAACCGGTCGGAATCTGGTCTGAACCGATGGAACCGGATCAAGCCCGATCTAACCGCCGATAACCGGACTTGGATTGAATCGAACCAGGTTCGATTGACCCAAACCGAGTTAAACCGAAATTGGATCGATTAAACCGGTCTAAAACTGGTTGAATCCGAAACCCTAATTTCGGAAACCCTAAACCGCCGAGTCAACCGAGTTAACTCGGTTGTTGACTCACCCGATCCCTCCACTCAGCCCTAACTCGGACGAGTTCGGACCGAGTTTCGCCGGAATCGAGCCTTTTCTCCGCCGAGTTCACCGAGTTTCTTTGAAACTCGGTCTCAAAACCGGAGAAAAAACGCGGAAATTAATGAACCGAGTCGAGAAACATACCTGACTCACCTGGTCGAGAACCTGTCTTCACCGAGCTTCGATCTCAGACGCTCCACCTCGACGGATCTTGCCACCGGCGACTCCGAGGCTTCAGATCTACCTCTCACCGTCGCTTATCCGCCTCTGTCTTTGACTGAAACACTAAACGGAGCATCAAATCGCTCACACAGACAAGATTCGGACCAAGAACCCTAACTTACCTCGCCTTTGCCGGCGAATCTCCCTGGATCGATAAACCAGGCTCTGATACCACTTTGTGAAGTGCGTATCGAGTCCTCGCCACTTCCCTCCGACGCTCGTTTGTGCAATAAACGAAAGAGACACCGGAGTTTTTACGAGTTCGATTACCGAGTTACCTCGGGCCTACGTCTCGGCCGGAACGGCGCCGACGAATCCACTAGAAGCAGAACGGAAAACAACCGAGAAAAGAAACACATACGGCGGCCCTCCACACAAGGTCGGAGGCTCACCGATTTACAACCAGAGAAGAAACACCCGAGACCCTTACCGATTTGGCCTTTGCTTACCGCACCGCCGCCGTCGACCTAGCTCCGTCGTCGTCGAGAAGCTCCGGCCGCCTTGTCTCCCTCTCTTTCTTCCCTCACGATCGCCTCTGCGATCGCCTCTCTCTCGAACATTCCTCCGCCTCGAGCCACGTGCCTTCCTCGTCGAATACACGCCAACATTAGGGTTTCATTAACCCTTAGTTCAAAACGCTGCGTATCGGCCAAATGGGTCGCTGGGCCGAGCGGGCCCAACAATGATTTTTCTATTATTAATTGATATTCTAAATATAAAAAAAATTATACAATAGATAATGAAAATATTATATACATATTCAAATATGGTGATTTTTGGGTTATAAATGAAAATTATATTAATAATTTTATAATCTATATATATATATAAAAGTAGAGTTGATTTACAAGGAGATAACACGTGAAATATTTGTAAGTAGTATATTTCTAAGAATTTAATACAAAAAGTCTTTCTTGAGTTAATATGTAAACGTATATTTCATTATCTTAGTTTTAAACTCGTTAATATGTAAATCGTATATTTCATTAAAATATGTATTCGGTTTGGATTCGGATTAGAAATGGTTAATTTGGTTCTTTCGGTTTTATAAAAATAGTATCAATCGATTTTTATATTATACTCAGTTTGGTTCAGTTGTAGTTTTATTTTTTATTAAAAACAATTAGGTTTTTTTAAAAAATTACAGTTTTTCATATTTTAAAATTTTGGATATATTATTAATGATATTTATTTTCCTACGAACTTAACGTGTATTAACTCAATTTTTTGTTTACACATCACACCAATAAAAAATATTTTGTTTTATAAACACCTTTAATCATTTTGGTTAAAAAAACTATTTGTGTCTTACTTGTTTTGTGCTCATGTTCTTTGTTGATACACGTTTGGATATCAATGTTAAACAAACAATAACGAGAATACGGATAACATATTTTGTATGAAAATTTGATTATCGTTAGTTGGAATCCAAATTTATAAATCATTACTGTTTTTTCCACTTATTTTATCTTTATAAATATTTAATATTAAGATATATTACTAATTATGTTAATATTCCTATCAATCATTATTATAGATTATTCTAAACATAAATCCTATCATCTAATTCAGTAAAAAAATTATATTTGGTCAAGCAAAACTTTTTTATGTATATATATATAATAATTATTCACTTATTTTCTTTTTCTTATAAACTATTTTATATGGATGTTGTAGTTCTATTTAAATCTACGGGACAACACAACAAAGTTTTCTAAAATATAAATTTTAATCTTTATTTTTTTAAAGAATATATGATCTTTCTTTGTCTATAGCAACTAAATTATCTTCGATAATCATTGTTATTATTCAAATATGAAGGTACATGTATTTAACAATTATTATAGTATAATTTATTCTCTTACCATTTTGAAAATTTAACAAATTTCTTTTTATTGTAGGAATCTAAAAACCAGATGTACCCAATGATATCAACCTATGTAGGATCGAATCAGATGAGTATACATCATAATTATTGGTGTATTATGGTTAGATTTCTAAGGATATGGGATGAACGAAGTCTTTTCAATGGAAATAGGTTCAATGGTATAGGATTCTTATTAATTGATAAAAATGTACGTTCTAACTAACATTGATTTTTTTATACTATACTTATTAAAAATCTAATCTTTTCTACTTATAACATTGCATGAGAATGTTATTGAAGGAAAAATATTTCAGAATCATGTATAAATATTTAAAAATATAATAAACGATATCGTTAAACTTTCCGTATGGGATGATCTCGCTACAGAAATTTGTTCACAAATTTATAGATTGAATGTCAGAAAAAGTATCGCAGTCGTTACAGGTGTAAATCCTAAGATTATTCACGATAATTATTTAACATAAATTAATTCCTAAATATTTGATAGACTAATATTTAAAAACTATTATCATAATTATATTGAGTTTACTAATAAATTTTATACATTAAGTATTCTATCACTCAACACATCAACGTCTACAAAGATTTACATAGAAACTAATCATTATCAAAAAATGTTGTTTAAGGTAAATAAATCTTATCATTCTTGCAAAAATCTATATTTATAATATTTACCATAATAATTTTTATTATTACCTCACAACTGAATTTTTGGCAGAAATTAAAGAAAGGTCATACCAGTACTGAAGACAACCATAATAAATCCGTTATATTGTCATGGTAAAATATCTATACAAGGATGTCAATATTGTGTTATTGATTTAATTCTGTTTGAAAAAAATATAATAATATTTTTTATATTATTAAAGTTTCTATTTATATTTAGTACAACTCAAACAACTTATCTTAGTTTTTGCTTCAATCATATTAACAAATTAAATACAAATATAAACATCAAGTATTTCATATCATACTACAACTCAAAATTAATCATCATAAAATCATTACCGAATTAACCAAACCAGTTAATTTAATATAAACCAAAAAATATACAATTTTTGTTTAATGACATGGCATGTTCATGTAGTAGATTTTAATTATGTGTCTCGCCATATCATATATTTACTTAACGCAATTCACAAAAAATTAACATCGTTAGAGGTGGTGTAGAAAATTGTTAAACATTTTGATATTTGAAATTTTAAGTTCAAATGTAAAGATTATGACTTAGATTAAAAATAAAAGGTTAAAAATAAAAACGATCACAAAATATAAAAAATGATAAGAGAAATATATAAAAAGAAGAAAATGGTGGTAAAAATATTACGGACATCTACAAATTGATAAAAATTTATGAATAAATTATATTTTGTTAATTATAGAGTAGGGTATAATATCCATCTATTATATTTAGATCCGAGTTTATCATCTTATTATCTCCACATTTTAACAAAATTATTTTAATTGAATAATATAAATTATAAATTTAAAAACAAAATTTATGATATTTAATTTTAAAAATAAGAAAAAATTATTTAAAATCCGTAAATATTTAGTCAGCGCGATGTGTGGGTTATTACCTAACTAGAAAAAAAGAAAAAAGAGTCAAATAGATTTCGGATATGGTGTGAATTCAACAGACACACTAACAAGAAATGGACAATGGCCCGCATTTAAAAGCTATCACACTTGTAATCATTTTTTGTGTTTTAATATTAATTAAATTGATTAGTGGGTTATAGTCTATCTCTTCCTTTTGTAATACTATATATATATATATGAAGGACAAATAAGCTTTCTTTCCTTAAATGAAATGTGGATATTGTTTTATTTCACTATATTTATACGCATTCTTATATTACATTACATATATATTCCAATGATAAAACAAGGCCTCTCTTTTAATTATGATCAACACAACCATATCCATGCGAAAACAAAACTCGTTGGATATATCTTATCATTTCTTTATTATATATAATATCATCCATATAATTATATTATGTTTATATATATATATTCCACATGTGTGAACGGAGATTTGGAAAAACAACAGAGCTACAGGTCGAACATTATATATATATATATAGAAAGAAAATAGAAAAAGAAAAAGGAAGTGTGGGGCTTTATCATAGCAACTGAGAGAAATGAGTGAACGAGAGGGCTTCTCAAATTTATTCATTCCATAAATGGCTTTATAACCTCCACATGCGTGTTCGCATTCATATTAAAAAAAAAAAGATAGAGCATCTTTATATATAGTAAAAAATATATATTAGGGAAACATTACATCTATAATTTGTAAATAACATGTTATGTAATGGAAAAATAAATAGAAATAACAATCAAGATATGCTTAATCAGACGAACCACTACACATGCAAGCAGAATCTTGTTGGGAAAAAACAGAGGGAGACAGCACCAATTGGGGCACAACAATTATGAGAATTAGTTTTACCAAAAAAAAAATTATTACGAGAATTAGTATATTATACAGTGGATTTGAAAGCTGTGCCCCTTTCACATTATCCCAATCTATAATTAAGTTCACACAATCCATCAAAAGTCTCCATTACATGTATATACATCTCTCTCTCTCTCTCTCTCTCTCTCTCTCTTGGAGTGTGTGAATGTGTATACAAATCCAAGTGTATACGCAGAAAGAGCATGTGTTTGATTTCCCTATACAAACACCCTATTTGATTTTTGAGGTAAACGTTTGAACACTCCATCGATGTCTCCGTTCTCCCTATAGATAATATACCCTTCTCGGCTTTCGTCCGCCCACTCTCCCCCTTCCACCGAAAACCTACATATATATCGATTATCGATTAGGGGGTTTGGATAAGATCACACGGGAGACACAATTTCGATGATGGATTTCAGAAAGATATGGGTTGTAATAATGGCGATGGAGATTCTCGTCGGGGATGAGACACGCGTTTTCGCAGACATCAACAGAGCCAGTTTCCCTAATGGTTTTGTCTTTGGAACTGCTTCTGCCGCTTTCCAGGTTCTCTTCTTCTTGTCGATTTCATCATTTCATTTTTATTATTATTATTGTTTGGGGTGAATAATTAGTTTTTTTTTTATATAACAAATGATGGGTTGCTTAGAATCTGGAATCAGTAGGTAGAACCAGGCATTTTGCATGTTAACGTTCCAGGAGATGTGGGCTCTTTTTTTGGAAAAATTATATAGAAAATAATTAATTCTGTGTTTTTGTAACAATAATCTAGGAATAAAGTCTACATGCGTACAACGATACATGCATCAGTTGAGTCTAATAAATGTGTTTATAACTTTATATTATGTATGCATGCATGAATATTTCGAATGTTTTTATTTAATTTTGAACCGTGTTTTGATGCGTAAAACACGGCGCATGTATTCCACAAGCATATAACCACTTCGGCCAATATATCTATTTCCTCGTTATTTACTTGTGGTTTCAGTTTAACCAAATTTCACGTTAAAGAAATACCCCCTTAGGTTTTTTTTTAAAAAAGAAAATTCAATGACTTTTACTTTTTCTTTTTATCTATTTCAATTACAAATTCAATCGAGGTCGTGTCATTCCCCACCAAACCCAATTATATATAGTGTGAATCGACCTAAAACACATCTGATGAGATATGAGAATAGTAAAAAAAATAATTAGGAATATTTTTTTCAAATAAAACGAATATAAGAAAAGTTAAAAAAATCTGATGAAAATGAAAATATTTTAATAAGTAAATAAATAAATATCGTTTTTTACAATTTTTAATTAAAATAAAAAAGGTCATATATATATATATACATACTCACATTAAACCACATTCTCATTAATATTATATTAGTTGGATGGTTATAATTAAAGATAAAATTGAAAAAAAGTTGTTGAAAAATCACTTAAATATCTAAAATAATATTTATTTAATAACACAAAGTATTTTTTATATATACATACTCACATTAAACCACATTCTCATTAATATTATATTAGTTGGATGGTTATAATTAAAGATAAAATTGAAAAAAAGTTGTTGAAAAATCACTTAAAAATCTAAAATAATATTTATTTAATAACACAAAGTATTTTCTAAAAGGATATATATTTAGAAACAGGGGGAGTAGTTTTTTATCGGAAAAAAAATATAAACTCGGACAAAAATAGGATCAAAATCAGAAACATGGAAGATCCGATATGTATGGTGCCAATGATTTCGGTTTCTGAAAAATATGAAATAAAACAAGGACCGACGGGCCATTTAATAGGGTAATTTATTGCAGTACGAGGGAGCGGTGAAGGAAGACGGGAGAGGTCCGTCCGTGTGGGACACGTTTTCTCACACTCTTGGTAAAATTGCTGATTTTAGTAACGCTGACGTTGCTGTCGATCAATACCATCGTTATGAGGTCAGTACATATATATATATATATATATATATATATGTATGTATATATATATACGCACACACCATTACATAATATTTTTAAAATTTTATACACCCTCTTTTTTTTTTAAATCCGAAAACCAATTATATCTTTTAGAAAATCGGAAAAGAAAAGATCACGTGAATGATCTTCTTGCTAAATGTGATGGTTTTGCAGGAAGATATACAACTTATGAAAAACATGGGAATGGATGCATATAGATTTTCGATTTCATGGACCCGGATTTTTCCAAGTATGTTATCAATTTCGCTCTAGTTTTAGTTTTATATATTGATCTTATACATGTTTGATTTTCTGGCCTCCGATTCCGAGATTAATCTGTATTTGGTATATGATTCTCGGTTACAAAAAAAAAACGTATGTTTGATTTTGTTATGTGTAAATGTTTTAATGTGCATAGATGGCACGGGGCAAATAAATCAAGCTGGAATTGATCACTACAACAAGCTCATCAATGCGTTACTTGCTCAAGGTATATATATTCAACAACTCGAACCATCACTTATAAGGATTTTTCTTATTATATTATTCTTATATTATATATTATATTCAAAACATTGAGTAATGTTGCATTAACTTTGATATGATGTAACAAATGCAGGAATCCAACCTTACGTAACGTTGTACCATTGGGACCTTCCTCAAGCCCTTCATGACCGATACAACGGTTGGCTAAGTCCCCAAATCATGTAAGCCAAAAAAAAATGACATATTGAAATATGAGTTGGACCGTTTTCATATATATATATATATATTCTTAAATTATAATATTTTGTTATCTCGAATTCGCTATAGAAACGATTATGCAACGTATGCCGAGGTATGTTTCGAGAATTTCGGAGACAGAGTGAAGCATTGGATAACGTTCAACGAGCCGCATACATTTGCGATACAAGGGTATGATGTCGGGTTACAAGCTCCCGGCCGGTGTTCCATCCTTCTTAGGCTTTTCTGCCGCGGTGGAAACTCCGCCACCGAGCCATATATTGTCGCACATAACGTTCTTCTCTCTCACGCCACCGTCTCCGATATCTATCGGAAGAAATACAAGGTATACGTATATAATTAAAAAAACTGAAATATATACATATACAATGTGGATGAAATATATGTAATTGTAACCTTAAAACAATTTGTGGCTTGAGACCTCTTCTTTTAGGCTTATTTACTGGTTAAATCATCTTGTAATGAGGACAATTGTTCAAAGAAACAGTACTTGTGATAAAGCATATGTATATATATATACACATCATATATATATTGTATATTGATGCAGGCGAAGCAAGGAGGGTGGCTCGGGATAGCGTTTGATGTAATATGGTACGAACCGGAAACAAATACGAGAGAAGACATTGAAGCTGCACAGAGAGCTCAAGATTTTCAACTTGGCTGGTTAGTATAACCTTTTTTTTTCCATATACAAATGTCTGGTTATATCGAATTGGTTTAATTTGGTTCGGTTTACTTTATTTATTTAAATAACATGTTCCTCATCACTAATGTACATATATATCTGTTACATATATATAGGTTCCTTGATCCACTGATGTTTGGCGATTACCCGAATTCGATGAGAAGCAGAGTCGGAAAGAGATTGCCAAGATTTACGGCATCTGAAGCTGCGATGGTGAAGGGTTCTTTAGATTTTGTCGGAATTAATCACTACACGACATATTACGCGAGGAACAACAAGACCAATCTCATCGGCACTCTCCTTAATGACGCCATTGCTGATTCTGGAGCCTTCACCGTTCGTATGTACTTTATAACGCAAAAACTATCTTCTTTAATTTCGGTTTCTTTAATTATGTTCACAAAATCGATCTTCTCTCTTTTGAATTTGCTATGTGTCTTCAGCATTTAAAGGGCTTCAAACCATTGGAGACAGGGTAAGAAAAACGATGTTAAATAGCTCTACGTTGATGAAGCTTTTTTTTTGTTGTTGCAAATATACGTGTGTATATATATATGTGTATATGTATTATATATACGGTAATACGGGCATTTTTGCAGGCCAATTCAATATGGTTGTACATAGTACCCCAAGGGATGAGAAACTTGATGAATTACATCAGAATTAGATACGGGAATCCTCCGGTGATTATCACGGAAAATGGTAATATATATACACGTACATTCGTGTATATTTTATACGTACGCATGCATGGGAATCATTGTTTTGATATATGTTCTTGCATGCAGGGATGGACGATCCAAACAATATACTGATCTCCAGAGAAAACGCCCTCAAAGACGAGAAGAGGATTAGGTACCATCACGATTATCTCTCCAACTTACAAGCCGCCATAAGGTACATTTGGTACAAATATTAATATATATAACGAATGTGACTAATCTAATTAAGTAAATGTAAATTATTTTTTATAAAAAAAATGGGTATATATAGTGAGGATGGGTGCAACGTGAAAGGGTACTTCGTGTGGTCGCTATTGGACAACTGGGAATGGGCTGCCGGTTACACTTCGAGATTTGGTCTCTACTTTGTAGACTATAGAGACAACCTCAAACGTTACCCTAAAAACTCTGTTCGTTGGTTCACTTCCTTCTTGAATTCTTCTTCTCCTTGATCATATTTTTCTGTTTTATAACTTCATATAATCTATGTTGCATGGTATGGTATGGTATGGTATGGTACTCTAGATACGTATCCGTATAACGGTAGCGTTATTAGTAAATAAATATTTGTTTCGCAATTCGCAAATCAGGTATTTTGTTTGTTCATCTTTCTCCGAATTTCATTCCTTATCAATGTACTTTTTTTTAATAAAATAAAAATTTGCGCGTGTTTTTAATAAAATCGTTGGCTGTATATATTCTCAAGACGTGTTCCGACACCTCCTCGTTGTTCGGCGGGAAAATCTCCCTGTTTTTCTCTCTCCATCCCCTTCATAAGAGCTCTCTTCTCTCTCTCTCTCTCTCTCTCTCGTTTGATCTGAAAGGTACAATACCCAGAGGAAGGTAAATTTCTCATCTTTGGCTTTATTGTTGTTGTTGTTTCACCTTTGACAATTTCTCGTTCCTCCATCATGTAGAATTCCAGTTCTCGTGGTCATTCGTTTTCGGAGATACCGATCTGTTTGGGTTTTCGTATTTTCTTTTTCCAAATGCGAAATTGGGTCTTGTTCGTTGTGGATCGTTTGGACTGTTTACACTCGGATCCGTCATTGCTCTGTTGTCTGTCTGAGATCTAACAGCCAAGGAAATTTTAATTTTCCCCATTTCGTCGATTTAGATTTTTCAAAACATTGAACTAATTTATGCCCTGAAACTCTGCTCCGTTTCGATCGTCTGGAATCTGATTCATCCGAGCTTGCAAGGTGTTTGATTTAATGCGTCACTGATGCCTGCCATTTAAACGGACTCGGTCGTTTGGATTTTCTCGATCCATTTCCAATTGGGTCACGAGTTTAGGACATTGTGATCGATCAATCTGCTGGTTAAATGGATAACCGTTGTGACCATCCAGATCAAGTTACTGGGAATTCACGTTCTTGTTTGCGGTCAAGGTTCTGTCTTGAAACGTTAACTGAACTTCGGTTCTGTCCCTTGTCGAATTTATCCTGGTTTTGTACCCTCCTTTCAGGAAAACAGAAAAATGGTGAAGATATGCTGCATTGGCGCTGGCTATGTTACTGGGAATTCACGTTCTTGTTTGCGGTCAAGGTTCTGTCTTGAAACGTTAACTGAACTTCGGTTCTGTCCCTTCTGGTTTTGTACCCTCCTTTCAGGAAAACAGAAAAATGGTGAAGATATGCTGCATTGGCGCTGGCTACGTCGGTGGACCCACCATGGCCGTGATAGCACTCAAGTGCCCTGATATTGAAGTAGTCGTGG